AGGAAGAGGAAATAAAAATGCCCCGTTACTGCCACCGTTCCTCGGGCCCCTGCGGCGCTTTCTCGAGTGTCCTCGCAAATGGAGGCGCCGGGCAGCGGGTGGGGAGCATCTCCATCGGCAGTGGGAAGGACGGTGGACAGGGACCGGCCCCATTACAAGCACATCCCTTTCCCACACCCCACCCGCGCCGAGGAAGAGAGTGTCCGTGGTATCCCGGCAGTGCCCGGCGTCGGGACTGCTTTTACTTCTGGCGTGACACTGCTGATCCCCGAGCTCGGTGGAGCACCAAAAAAGAGGGTGAGAAAGATTTAAAAAAAAAAAAAAAAGGAAAAAAAACCCCAACACCAAAAAGTGCCCTAGCCCGCCTGTGCCCCCGCATCGCCCCAGTGCAGCTACTCCTTCCCATGCCCGAGCAGACCCCTGTGGCAGAGCCCAGGGGCAGAATGGGGCTGTGCCCAGTGTCCACCCCCACGAGTCCCGCGGAGCCCCCACAACTGCACCGCCGGCACCGGCATCGCCCTGGCCAAGGGCCGCACCGGGTTGGGTTCGGCAGCCCCGAGCCTCCTCAACCCGCCCCCGATGGCTCTGCTGCTGCCCAGCTACCAAAGTTTTTATTCTCATCCTCGTTATCTCAAACTGATCAAGTGACCACGAACAAAAAAACAAACACTTTTAATGTAAAGTTTGCTCACCTGGTGTAGTAACGATCAGTTCTCAGAGCAAAGGATTTCTGCTTCCAGCAAAGTCTGGTTCTCCGACTTACTCAGCCGGAAGAAAGAGCACCATTAGCTACTTTACATACACTTTTTTAAGTCTGTTTCAAAAGCATTTGATGTAGAGCATAAAGATGCACCTTGCGCGCTGCTGTCAACAGCCAGCCTCAGGCTGGGGCTTGGGTGCTACATGTCCAACTCCCTAACAGAAGAAAAGTCTTTTTTTTTTTTTTCTAAACTCAAAATTTATTACCCTTTTCTCAAAGTTTCAGCCCTTGGCCATTCGGCAAAGCTTTTTCCAAACGGTTTTAGATCTAATCGGAAACCGTTTGAGTTGCGTTTTGATCCGACCGCCACTCTGCGTTTATTTCTTGTAAGACAAAATAAAAGTTAAATCGAACCGGTGTCGCCGACAAGCAGTCGGAGCCCCGGAGCTGGGAGGTGCTCTGGGCCGTGCCCCCTGTTGCCAAGGACCCTCTCCGGGCGTGGCAGGAGCTTCCCGCCAGGACCGCTCGCCGTCTCCCCCCAGGTCTCCTCCGGCGGCCCAGGGGTGGGAGGGTGACTGTGGCAGAGGCGGTCCCTACAGCCCCCCAAGCCGCGACGGGCTCCGGACAAATGGTCGGCGAGCAGAGCTCCCACCTCCGCTCAGTCACTTGTTAGCGCTGCCTAGGACCTTACTCGACGGGGAGGGAGAAGTGAGTGCTTGATAATGTTGATAATGTTCACTGTAAACCACTTTGGTATTCACTCGCTTAATTCTGGTGTGGCCTCGAGCACCGCAGAGAGGTACGGAGGGAGCTCGGGGCCGGGGCCAGACCCCCGAGGCCTCCCCCCGACGCCGCCTTCCGGCTCCCAGCGCCCTTCGTCGGAGTGGACGCGGCGCTCCGTGCCCGGGGGCAGCGCATCTCCCCCCGGCCCGAGCCGAGGTGAGGGCCCCCCGCACCCACGGCCCTCCAGGCAGAGGGGAGGGAAGCGAAGACCTCTTGTAAAGCTCCCAGCCGTCGGAGCCCGCAAGATAAACATCATTAGAAATCATTGTAATTGGGATTGTGAAATCTGACCTCTGACCCGCCGGGCTACGTGTCACAACCGTGTCTGCTTTGATTCCTCGAAAGGCGGCACAAAGGAACAAGCTCCGTGACAGGAGGCAGCGGGATCTGCGCCCCGGCCCGCGGGGACCGACGGGGGGGACCACGCGTGGCCTTCCCCTCCTCCCCCGCGCCTCATTTGCATATGCAAAGCAGCAGACCACCGGGCCGCCCCCGTCCCGGGGGTGGTCGTCAGGCCGGGGTGGGGGTCGTGGAAGCAAGTTGTGTCCGACCCTCGGGGTGCTTTCGACGGAGAAATGAGCGTCGGTGCGTCCTTCCACCAGCGGAGGGAGGACGAGGGGGCATCTGGTGGGTGTTTGATATTCACATCCCACAAGCATGTCTGCCTCCCGGGGGTCAGGGTGTAGGGGAGCAGACCCACAGGGCAGGGAGGAAGGAAGGGGAAGAAACTGCATTTCCTTCAGGGCTTTTCCACCTGGGCTAGTGGGTGCTCCTCCTGGGCCTTGGGCTCCCCAGTGCCATCCACACATCCAGCCCCCAGCTCTGCTCTCCAGCCAGGGGGCCTGGTGCGTGTCCCCCACCTCCCACCGCTCCATGCACACCTGATCCCTCTCCTACACGGAGGGTGTTGCACCTTCTGCTCTTATTTCTTGGCTCGGGGTGGTGCTGAGCCCCGGGTGGAGGCCTCCCCTCGACGGCTGCTGGCCAGAGAGGATCCCTGCGGGGCTGTCGGCCCCCAGCACACATGGGGGACCAGGGTCACTCATGGAGCCAGCAAGGGCAGACCTGAACCACGCCGGCCTGTGCCGATTCCCTCATATGCCCCGCTCAGCTGCCCTCGATGTGAAATCCTAACAGCATAATTATATTAAAAAGCCTGATTTGTTTAAATAATCCTCTTTAGGCTCCCTTTAATCTGCCCTATATTTCTCCCATCGTCTTCATTCCTGACTTGTCCAGCTCAGCTGAGCTTGGCTGGACACCCTGCGGCTGAGGAAACTCCTCTTCTTCCTTCTTCTCCAGAGCCTGCGGGCCCTCCTATGCCCAGAAGCTGGGTCTGGGCTGCAGGTAGGCAGCGGGTCCCAGAGTCTGTTGGTAGGGCAAGGGGGTGGCAGGAGGGGCCAACAGCCCTGCTTGACCCAGCACCGAGAGCGAGCCAGCATCACCTGTGTCCCGCGGACAGGGGAAGCAAAGAGGATCGGCCCCCTCTCCCTTCGGCAGGGCAGGGCCTAATCCGGCCCAGGAATGCTCTCAGGGAGGGTCGTTACTCGATTTTGAAGAAGAAATGCCATTTTTCGCCTGTACAGCTCCAGGGGAGTGCGAGACGGTCGGTATGAGAAGGGCAGAGGAGTGAACTGAGACTGGAGCAGGGGAAGGAGAGGGACAAACTCTCTGTGCACCCCCCGACAGCAGCGAGAGGGACACTTAGAGGGGATCTGAATGCACCCCCTGAACCCTGCAGCTGCCCTCGGTGACTGCTTTCCATGTGAGTGGTGCAGTGCACACTTTGAGGGACAGTTTTATTTTCTTCAGTGTGGAAGATCTGAGTTCATGTTCCAATCCCATTAAAAAAAAAACAAAAAACAAACAACAACAAAAAAAATTTAAAAATGAAATTTAAAAAAAAAAAAAGAAAAAAAAAACACAAAAGAGAAAGAAAGAAATGCACAACTTTAGATGGCGCTGTACAACATTTATTTAAGCCCTCCGAGTATTCCTGGGTCCTCGGTCTGCAGAGAAGAGCAGAGCCCTTGGCGGGCAGAAGCGGCCTGGGCTGGGCGGGGATGGAGGGGGATACGCTGGGGTGGGATGGGGTGGGATGAGGTGGAGGAGGGGTCCTGCCCCGCCGGTAGCGGGTGCGGAAGGCAGGGGCCTGTCGCCCCAGCCTGCGCCTCCATCTCGGGACGGTGAGAACAAACCGCAGAGCTAAGCAGGAAGAGTTAAAAAGCACAAAAAATGGCAGAAGCCACCTCCCGCTGCCCCTCTGCTCCCCTTCTCGAATAGACGGAAACCTCCTAATGCCTCCGACGGGACGAGGAGCGGGCAGCTGCAGGCTGTGCCGAACGGTAGTGCCGCTGCTCGCCCCCCTCCGCACCCCGGCCCACCGGGTCCCACTGCCCGGGGCACGGCCTCGGCATTGCCCCATCCTCCGGGGGATGCAGGAAAGAGGGTCCCCCGGTTCCAGCTCTGCTCGCTTCTCCCCTCCGCCCCTCCGGCTGCTGGCCTAGGGCGGGGATCCAGAGGGGCAGAAAGAAAGCGAAAGGAGAAAGAAAACCGACAGACATCCTCGTCGAGGGTGACGGGAGGCTCTCCACCCACTACGGCGCCTGGTTTCCTCAGGGGCAGTGAGGAACGGATCCCCCTCGCCCGCCCTCGGCTCGGCGGGGCCCCACGCAAGAGCCGCGTGGGCGTCAGGCCCGGGTGCGGGGCTCCTCGACGGCTCGAGGACAAGGCCACGGGCACGGCCCGATCCCGGCCCGTCGGTGTCCCCGGGCCGGCGGCGAAGAGTGAGCCGAGCCGGGACAGGGCACAGCCGAGTTTAACCGGGGAAGGAGGAAAAGCAGAGCGGGGAGTTCTGCTGTGCCGCCGGCCCCCCGCCACCCTGCGCTTCCCACTCATACGGCAGATGTGATCCCGAGCCCTGGAAGAGAGAGCGGAGGGCAGGGGCTGTGGTCTGGAGCGCTCCCAGGAGCGGCGGCGCAGCGCCCAGCGCCGATCGCTCCGGTCCGATCCTTCGGAGAGGTCCTCGCTGGAAACAGCGTGCGAGTAGATCCTCTCGGACCGAGGCAAGGAGCTGTCAGACAAATACCTTTCGAACACATCCCGGAGCTCTAAATGTCCAGACGGTTTCAGGCAATTTTTCAGCGGGAGCTGGTGATATATTATTACCATTATAAAGAGATGGGGTTTATTTCTGGTTAAAAGGGAAATGCGGGAGGTGAGGCAAGACCGCAACAGCCAAAGAGAGTTATTTTTTTTTAAGAGGTCGGAAAAATTAAAAATAATTTTTAAAAAATCGAAGGTCTCAGATAGGGTTTTTAACAAGGGAAAAGAGGTTTAAAAATCACTGCACCTATCCATCGGAAACAAAACCTAAATATGCCACCAAAATGGCACTATGTACACAGCATATGGTGTATGTATATATACATTTCTTTTTTATATTTTTTATACATATACATATATATATATATACAAACATCCATACACTAAAATAAAGAACTACGGCCAGCCTGGATCCTGAACACAGTCTACACTTTATTTCAGACTACAGATTTCTGAACATAATAAAATCTTTGGCTTGTAGCGGCGGGTTCAGTCTCGCAGTCTGTGGATCAGAATTATTTTTTTCCTCGGGAAAAAAAAAAAGAGAGACAGAAATTCACACACACACACAAAAATAAAATAAGATCAAACGAAAGATGAGAAAAGTCCAACATTTACTGTAAAACAAGAGCAACGGACATGGGGGGGCAAAAAAAAGAAAACAAGGAAAGCAAAGAAAACGAACAAACGAACAAAAGAAAGGAGAAAGAGAGAGAAGGGAAGAGAGAAACTGTCCAGCAAATAGAGATCGCTACACGTATTTCTTACCTGAAATTAAATATATACAAGGTCATATGCTGTTTGGCTATATAGAGATAATTTTTTAAAGTGTTCATATTTTATTTTTTTTCTTAATTGGAGTCCTTATACTATGGATAGACAATAGATCTGCTTTTAAATCGCACCTGTCCGCCTCCCGGCCGGCGGGCCAGCGCCGCGGCGCAGGGATGGGCTGGGGCCGCCCGCCTCACTCGCTCTCCTCTTTGTCCTGCACCGTGGTGGTGGAGTGGTTGTAGAGTCCCTGGGCCATGAGATGCAGCGCCAGCCCGTTCTTGATGCCCGTCGCCTTCTTGATCTTGGCCCGTTTGTTCTGGAACCAGATCTTGATCTGGGACTCGTTGAGGCTGAGCTCCTGGGCCAGGCTTTGCCGCCGCTGCTCCGTGATGTACCGGTTCGCCTGGAACTCCGCCTTCAGCCGCTGCAGCTGCTCGGCCGTGAACGCCGTCCGCGGCCGCTTGTCCTCTTTCTCTGTCTTCTTCTTCTTCAGCTTCCTGGTGCGGGGGCCTGCGGGCAGGGCACACACACGCCGCTGGGCAGGGCCGTGCCGCCGACCGACCGACAGACCGACCGACCGACCGACCGACCGACCTCCACCCCCGCCCCGCCGGCCGCGGAAAAATGGCCGACGGGTGCATTTGTGCTGATTCCGTGTATCCCCCCCAACCCCCCAACCCCGGCACCGCCGCCCCGATGCGGCGGAGGGAAGGATGGGGAAGGAGCGGGGAGGCCGGGGCCGAGCGCGCCCGCGCATCGCTCGCCGCCCCGGCCCCGCAGAACCGGCCCCGCAGAGCCCGGGGAGCGGAGCCCGCTCGGCCCCCGCCCCGGCACACGTCGGGGTGCCGCTCCGCCCGCCCCGCCGAGACGAGCCGTGCTCTTTCTGCACGGCTCGGGACCGGAGCGCGCCGACCGGGCAGCGGCTTCGCCAGGCAGCGCGGGGAACAAGGATCCCCGCTGCCAGGCACCGGGAAGCCACCGCCAGCAGCAAACAGGCCTAAGGCTGCCTTGGTCTCTTTTTTGGGGGCCCTGACCATCTCCGCAAGGCCAGCTCAGTCCCGGGGAGTCCTTCTCCGCCGCCACCCCGGTGCCCCGCCGCCACCGTCCGGGTCGTCCTGGCGGCCGATCCTTGCCGGGGACCCCCGGCCCCGCTTGCGGCTCCCTCTGTGCAGCCCAGCCGAAGGCAGTGCCCCCGCCGCTCCATCTCCAGGCCGCAATGGGGCTGGCTGAAGTGCGACACAGCTCACCCGGGAAGCTGCCCGGTCCCGGGGCACATCCTGGGGGCAGCGCCCGGCTAGGGAGGAGATGGTACCCCCCGTCCTCTGCTCGCCGGCCCGGCCCTGCCCGACGAGGGGAGAGAGGAGGAGAGGAGGGGGGGAACCGTGAAGAAAGGGATCTACGAAAATCCCCCGACAGCTGCCGGGCTCGGCGGGTGGCCCCGGGCCCGCAGACCCCCGTCAGCAGCAGCCGCAGCCGCAGCCGAAGCCAGTGAGGCCTCCCTGCTGCCGAGTAGGCCGAAATCTCCTCTCCCGGCGCAGCCCTTCCCCGAACAGGGGGATTCTCCGCGGCTCGGCAGCGGCTGTCGGCGGGGAGAGGGACGGGGCCCGGCGCGATGCTCCCAGGCTGGGCCAGAGGAGGGGCGGAGGGCGCGGGGAGTGAATAGTTGAGCCCCGGCACCTTGCAGCGGGGTGCCGGCGCCTCCGACCGCCGCAGCCCGCTCGTCCCCGGAGCCAGGAGAAGCAGCCGGGGCCGGAGGGCAGCTCCGAGCACAACAAAGAGAGCGGCCGAGCTGAACCATCCTCCCCTCGCCCTTCTCCCCTCCGGGCTGCGGCGAGCAGGGAGCGTCGGAGAGGACATTCAGAAATGATTCTTTGCCCGAAGAAAGGGGAGGAAAGGAAATGAAGGCGCAAGTGCAGAACCCCGGGCGCACGGCGGCCCTGGGAATCGGCAGCACAACACCCGCGGCCGGGCCGGCCGGGAGCGAGGCCGCGCCGTCTGACAGCTCTATCACCCCATCAATCACCCCAGTCAATCAAAGCGGCTTTTCTGAGTTTCAAGTCGCTGGACGTGTCAATAACGGGGGATGGAGACAGCTCGGCCGCACTGACGGCCGGCGGGGAGCACTAGGCCGGGCAACGCAGAGCGGGGCCGGGGCAGGGCAGCAACGCCTTCCCCGCGCATCGGAGCGGCCCCCGGGAAGGCACAGGGCAGCCTACCCCGGCCCCGCGCCGCGCTACCGGAGCCCTGGCTGCTGGCCGGGGATGTCATGTGGAACCCCCTCTCCTCGCCGTCTACTTCTTGCAAACAAATGGCATTTAAAACCAGAACGTAACGGTGATGAATAAGGGGCTGCCTGGGGCACCTGGGGAGTTTAAAGAGGTAGAAGGGGCGGCAGAATGGGGTCGGGAGGGCCGAGCCGGCGGCTCTCACCGGGACGGCCCCGGGCAGAGGCACATCCCCTCCCCGGAGCTGGGCCCCAAACAGCAGCAGGGAGCACCGGCTCCAGCGGCAATGCGCGGCCTAAGGGCCTGCCTGGCTCGCTGCAGAGGCCCCGGTAAAACAGCCCCTACGCCACCTTCCAAAAAAGCCCTTTTTCCTTCGCCTGCCAAGAAAACAGTACCTCCCCCATCCCCCCCCGCCCCGCCAGCAGCCGCTCAACATGTGGCTCGGGTCTTCCCCCCTGCCACCAGCACCCAGGAAAAAATAAAATAAAATAAGGGGAGAAAAAGCTTCAGAGCAAAGAAGCGGCCGAACCCGCTGGTTTTTTCTCTCTCGGCTCTCATCCCGCGCCGCCGCGCTGCGGAACACCCGGGGCTGCGGCAGGCGGGGCGGGCCAGGGGCGCGGGAAGGGGGTCGCTCTCGCCGGCTCTCCGCATCGAACCGCTGCCGAATCGGGGCCAGGCGTCACATTCAAATTTGGGAGACTCGGAGAAGGAAGGAGGGGTGGAGTGGGGGGGACGCGTTTCCTCTCGCCCCGGGTGACCCAGGCCACCCTCCCCCCGCGCCTCCCCACGCGAGGTCCTGAACAGACCGGGAGCCAAAGCCAAGGGGGGAAGAGGGGAAGGGGAGGGGGGGGCGACCTTGTCACGATTTAACAGCTCCCAGATGCGCCGCGGTTCCTTACCCGAGGACGGTCTGTCTGAATACCTAGTGCAGTAGACCCAGGCAGGCCACACCAGCGGCTGTTGCGAGTCGGGCTTTATAACAGGTCCTCCATTATTAGAGCCCATGAGGAGGATGGCGGGGCTGCCGTGCTCCCCGTACTTCGCCGGGTGAGTCTCGCCCCCGTCGGCGGGGGGCTTGGCCGCCCCCGACGCCGCCGCCGCCGCTGCCGCCGCGGCGGGACTGGCTTTGGAGGCGGCGGCGGCGGGCGGCGGCGGCGCGGAGCCGTCGGGACGGCAGTTCGAGTCCGGGCAGAGGAGGGCGGGCGGGTTGGGCGGCCGGGCCAGCAGCGGGTTGACGTTTTCTCTACCTGAGCTCTGCCCCCGGTCTCCGTCCCGCTCCCGGCTGCCTCCTCCTCCGCCGCCGGCCGGCGCGGGCGGCTCCTTCTTGCAGCCGAAGTCCGGCCTCAGGATGTTGTCGATGAAAAAGTTGGTGGTGCGATGGGGCGGCGGCGGCGGGGGCGGCGGCGGGGGCGGCGGGTGGCGGCGGCGGGGCAGAGGCAGGGGGCAGGGCGCGGCGGGGG